ACGACGCGCGCGAGGGGGATCGCGAGGGGAATGACAAGGAGGTGGCCATGGAGGAGGAGGAGGAGGAGGAGGAGGAGGAGGAGGAGGAGGAGGAGGAGGAGGAGGAGGAGGAGGAGGAGGAGGAGGAGGAGGAGGAGGAGGAGGAGGAGGAGGAGGGGGGCGTCGAGATGACGGGGGCCGTCGGCGTGGTCGCGGAGGTGGGCGTCGATGCGATGGGGCTTTCGCGAGGCGGTCCGCGCGGTGGCGGCGCCCGGCGGTGCTGGGGGGCGGGAGGGGGCCCGGCGCGCTCCTGGGGCACTGCGGGCGTCGCGGCGGATGGCGGCGCAGAGGTGCAGGAACAGGGCGGCGACGGCCTGCAGAGCTCGTTCCCTATCCTGCGGGCGCCAATCCTTCCGATGCTGCGCCGCTAATCTTGTCGATATTATGCCGTCAATCGCTGCCCGGCGACAGCGTCCCAGACCCAAGAGGGGCCGGGCGGGCTTGCCTTGCGCCGCCTTGTTGACATGGCCAACAAGAGTATGTTCTGTTTGCTGCGTGCCCAAACTGCCGTTCGCCAGGTTTGCCGCGCACCCTATGTGATCAATGAATCGAGGGATCGGGGTGGTGAGGAGGGCAACGGGGGCAGGGCGGCGACGTCCTGGCGCTCGTTCCCAATCCAGCGCGCACTAAGATTCAACGCCGCCGATCTTGCCATTGTTACTCCACCGAGCGCTGCCCGACCTCGGCGTCCGAAGCCCGAGGGGGCATGGCGAGCTTGCCCTGCGCCGCCTTGTTGCCTAATGGCCGCTTTGCGCCGCGTCTCCCGACCGCGACAGCGCGGGCCCAGTCGAGCACTGCGGCGGCAGGAGGTCGCGCGAGGGCGGAGGGGGCCCCGCGAGCGAACTGGTCCAACGTCCCCGGTGGGCGGACCGCGAGGGCGACGCCGTCGATCCCCCAACAGGCGCGGACTCTCCCGCAAGCTCGCCGGCGTCTTCATGGACCGAGTCGGCCAACGCGATCAGGGGTGCGCGATCAGAAGTCCAGAGTCCTCTCGCGCCGGCTGTCTTGCCGACTGCGTCGCGGATGGCAGACTGGCAGCCGTCGCCGCGGGCGGCTGAGGCAGTGGCGCACGACAGACGCGTGCCTCCCGCCAGTCCCCCGCCGATCAACACCCACGCGACCGCTGCGGAGGCGCTGTCACAGGGCGGACTTTGCCTCGCCCAGCTAGCGCAAGGCGTCTTCTGGCTGATGGTATAGGAGGCTTGGGCTGACTCCCCGTGGACTCGCGAGCACTGGGATCATGTCACCTGGGGCGAGCTCGCCCAGAAAGGGATCCGCGACAGGTCGTGATCGACTTCCTGTGCTCCCTACCAATGTGCGGGCGGCGAGCGGCTGGCACTCGCGCCCCGCCAGCCT